GATAACAGCTTGGCCTGTAGGCGAGGGACCCTTTTATCATTAGAGGCCGCAGTTACCTTCTTACGCCTACAACCTTCTCAAATTCAAGTCCTCAGTCCATTCCCTTTCCACAACATCTCGACCTTCCGATCTTTACATCCTTTCTCCACAGATCTGCCTCATTTCGAAACTCCTTTATTGCTGGCGCTGTCACTTTCTGGAATTCTCTACCTATCAAAATTCGGCATTCCCCCTCCATATCCACACTTAAAACCTTCCTATTCCAATTCCTATCCCATAAACAGTTCGATACTTGTTAAGCTTTTGATATTATAACATTTATCATCAAATGATATTACTATTCCATGCTGTAAACTTCACTAGCGATATTACAATATCTTCCTACTCTTAATGCCGCTGAATGAATATATTGTTTGTTTTTACCATTATTTCGTAATCTTATACAACTAAATCTGTAGCTATAGTTACAATAAGATAATGATGTGTTTACATATTATTCATTTTACATATTAAATACTCTGATATTTTATATTATCAGATTCGTCTTTCCTTTGTTGGCAGAAACACAAAACTTATTTTAAAGAAGAACTCAATATATATATATATATATATATATATTTTTTTTTTCCCCCCTACTGTACATAGTTTTAAGTATTTGTATATAGATCCATTTTTTTTTTTTTTTCTATAGCTTGTTTAACTAATATTTTCTTTGTTTTATGTTTTTTCTTTTTTATTATTGCTCTATTTAGGTCACATGTAGTCATTTAATTCTTTGTTAATTCTTTATTATTTTGTTATTCGAAAAGGACTTTGTCCCAGGATATAGTTATTTTCTATTTATATTTCTAAGATGAAGTAGTACTGACGGAGGCCGCAAATTTTTTTATTTTTTATTGTGATTTTTATTTATCACTAATTACACACATATATTTAACTTAATTTTTTGATTTTCAATTTTTTAATATATTTAACTTAAATGATTAAATATTAATTAATTCTATGGCTAGAATAATATATATATTGCGGCCAGGAAGCCGCATGTTTGGCTTGTTTAGTCGAAAACAACAATGCAGAGCCTTTTATTATTAAACAATATAATTGTCACTAAACTGCGAGCTATATTTAGTCGTTAATGTTCTCCCACAATCCTAGCAAGTTCATCGACCGATATGCAAACACACTCCAACGAGATACAGGTCTTGAAATAAAAATAAAAAGTTAAATTTATTTAGTTGGCTGCGATTCCTCAGAGTTGTATCAGTGACGTTGGATTGATGGCTTGGACAACTTGCGGTCTTGTTTTGACCGATATTAAACATCTGTTTATCTTTGAAATCTAACTGACTGTTTTCTAAACTATTGTTAAATCAAATTGTTTGGATTTTAGATACAGGCCTACGGATAAAAACATTTACAAATACACTTAAAATAAAATATAATGCATAAAACTACTCAAATTGAGTTTATTTATCGTATCAGAAGAAAAGATATTATGATTAGGATATCATACTGATTCTGAATCGGATATTAAAGTATGGAAACTAAAGATTTGTATAAAAATATCATTTAAAGAACTCAAACATAGAACGAGACCATGGGAAAATATTGGTTTTAGGATTGGTCCACGATTTTATTAGTACAATAAGATGGTCGGAATTTCTAGATTCCTGTATTATATTAAGAGCGCAATGTTTATGTTGTTGTTTTTCACTTAACTCTTTTCTGGACATGTGCACTCCAGTTCTCATGACTTTGAACTTCAATTCTGACATCACTTGTGGATATTTTAGCACCATTTGGTTGTCGATTTGGAAAGTAACATGTCGTAATCTTGCTTTGATAGTCGCATGTCATGTGATAGATTTACCAATAGTGAAGCCAACATAAAGTTTCCCTATCATATATGTTTAAAAAATCTCTGATTTACCTCCATTTGAATCCGGTAAATCTATTTACTAGAACTGGTCATGAGAACTAGGGTTTACATTTTTCCTTTGACGTAAACTCGTCAAGGCAACATTTCCCATAATCTATAATAGCTGCTAAATATTTATAGAATTATAATTTCTACATTTTCGAATCTATTCCATCATCAGAAATCCAGACGACCTCTCCCTCTCCCCCCCTTTCCTCCCCAAAAAATGACGAATTCGCTTAATAAAACTACTTAAATCAATAAGTGAAGATTTAAGGGTTAAATGTAAAGGCGCGTTTAGAAATTTCACAAACTATGGGAAACACAACTATGTAATTTAACAAACGGCGGTATTATTGCTAAACCAAACTATTTATTCTCTTAATATCAAATGGAAAATATTAAAAACAAGACCGTTTGTAAATTTGTTTGTTTTATTTTTTCTAATTTATTTAAACGCACATTTAGATCGAATAGTTTTTTTCTAAAGTGAACTCTAATCATCATTAACAAATTTTCAGGAAACGCGAAAAACTACACATGTTATTCCTATTGTAATGTTAAAACCAATATTTAAGAAAAATAAATTGAGGAATTCTTTATATTGTCTGTAACCCATATGTTATTTTATTAGTAATTAAAGTAATATTGAAACTTAAATAGGGCCGCTATAGGAACGAACTAAATTTTAACATGAAGATTGATGATGGCCTGAACTTCAGGTCGAAACGTCGGCATATGTAAAAATAAATATTATCATTTATTTTTGCCTTCTTTTTTGACTGACCACCCCAACTATTCTTCTCTTCATTACCCACGACAGTCAACCATTTACCAATTATAAATTTTAAGATCCGTTTTGGACAAAAAAGTTTGGTTAGGATTCGGGTTGAAGAGAAAAAATTGTCTATGATTCGGAGAGAAAATGTTACTAACATTTTTCTGCCTAGCAAACCTAGAAAAAAAACTGTACCACTACAACTCATGAAGGGTCTTTGGTTCAGTACTATTTAGGAAAAGTACTGTTTTAAGGCCGACGGTTGTGCTTGGAGGAGATCGGGTTAGAATCACGCTCAACCGCCTTGGTTTTTCCCCTAGTTAATTATTTTAATTAAAGGTACCCATTTTGTAAAACCTGGGTGTTCCCCACCCAACAGGGTCTTCCTACCCCAGAGTCGCCCAACGTCCAATTAAACAATTTTTTTGCCACGTACCGGGACCTTTAGCATTGCAAGTCCAGTGCCCTTCGACTTAGCACTGCCTATTATTATCAACATTTTATTTTAAACATTTAATTTTTTTCTATAATGGTACAATAAAATAAATTTAATTTTTGTTTTCATTCAAATATAAAGATATTCATTTCATGATTTTTTATTGTTTTCATTCTTTTAATGACTACATTCCTTGAAAAAAGTACTTTTTAAAATAAAAAAATGATTGCCACATCGGCTCATTTGGGCATTTTAACACAGAAATAGTTACTTGATATTACCAAACAATGATCTATTAGGGCTTCGTTTGGAAATAAAAGAATCAATTACAACGCTAACACATAATTTATGAACCTATTTATTTTTCTAATAACTGTTATGTATATATATATATATATATTTCTGACCACCGTAAAGTTGTACCATGACTATGAGATACAGAAGGGAGGTGCCGATATAGAAGGCAGTGCCTGTCCGTGGCTGCCGTGACGGTGCTGCCCCCTGCGTGCTAGCCAGCTAACTCCGCCCGCCCCTCGCCACAGCTCTGCCAATAGCGATAGTGTATTTCCTCTTTACATATCATCATTGATCCTTCAAATTAATATTCAAGTGTGCTCGTATTTTATTAGAACTTCATGCTCTTCGTTAAGTAAATGAAAGTATATCGATTGGTCCAAAAACATAAATAAAACACATTAGCAACAGGATTCATTTGTTAAGGTCAGTTTTCTCCCCCACGTTTTTGTGTGCAAAATTGATTTAATTGCTTCATTAATTTTTACCTGTGGTAATTGGGTAGAATTTCATTAATAATTAAACTAATGAATTTCATTCTCATATTTTTTAACATTTCGTATGTTTTTCCCAATTGATTTCAACAAAATGTAGATTCTCTACCCCGTATCTACATAAAAATTCTCTAACATCCAACTAAATTTAAGAACTGTAGATTTCCATTTTTTTTTTTTTTTTTTTTTTTGTTCTTCCCTACCTCGCCTTTTAGGCTATACGGGATTTTCCCTGGCCGGGGGGAGGGCGGGGAAATTTAAAATCCCCTCCGGCACCGGGACGCGAACTCGTACTTTTTATATCATCTCAAATCTCTGTTATCCGGTTGCCAGGCAACTAGCGGTGCTATTACACACGCTTTAGCCTATTCGGCCACCCCGCCCCCTTATGATTTCCATAATTAGATTCAGAATTTATTTTCCTCCGGTCACATGTGATTAGGAATAGTGAAAAAAATAGTGCTGGCCAGGGGCGTCCATGAACTTCCCTCCCTCCTCCTTAGATATTTTATTGCTCTCATCTTCTTAAAACAGTGCAAGCTAAAGTATAATTTTAAAAACCATAGGTCATATAGAATTACACTTTCATTAGTCTGTTCTACGATTTCCTCCTGTCTCCTGCTTTGAAGATTTTCATTTCGAAAATGCATAACCCCTTCGAAATGTACCCCCCCCCTTCCACCCTCCTCAAAACTTTTGATGGCTCAACTTGCGCCATGAAACCCCCTTCTGGGCACCTCTGGTGCTGGCAAAGCGACATTTCTTTGGATTGGAATACTTCTTCAGGAGCCATATTGTCGCTTGGAACTCCATGTACACTGGGCTCTGGTTTTGAGAAGATCTGAGAAGGTTATCTCAAAGTCGGATGAGCCAAGGCTCCTGGAGTTTGAGAGGAAAGTTTTATCTACAATATATGATCAAGTAAAAGTAGACGAACATTGGAGACAGAGAAAAAACCAACGGATCTAATTTAACCAACGGTGACTAAGAAAGGTTGGGCATGTTGCCTGGATGATTGAATAGGAAATTCCTTAAATGATGATGACAAATCAGCTTTTTGGAGTGAGAAGAACTGAAAGACTAGAGTTGAGATGGAGAAAGTGTTGGGCTGGCAAAATGTTCGCTAAGCTGGCAAAGGATCTCCAAGGCGTGTAACAGAAAAAAATTAGGACTCGACAGGTCTCGTGAGTCGTGTGTGCCACATGTTGTAACCTGTCGGTATTAAAGATGTGCCACATGTTGTAACCTGTCGTGATTAAAGATGGACGATCTTGGACCAGGATGTCCTTCTGAATGTAATTATCGAGTTGGCGACTTGTCCGTGGGATGGCGTTCATTCGGGCACGCGAAATCGTTAACCTACAAGGAAAACTGGTTTCGACAGTGCCATTGTAACAGGGAGCCGCTTTTGGAAATTGTCAACTCCACATTATGTAATTTGGCGATCCGTATCGGCATCGTAAAAAACAGATTAAGGTTCACGTGATCAGTGAAATATCAGATCAGCTTATAATAATATAATAAACTTTGCAAGGTATCGACTGATGTAACAGACTATTATTTATTATTCTATACGTTACTTTCACATCTTCAATACGTGCCTTATTACCGCTGAGGCGAACGTCCTACAGGATTTTCAAGTTCCTCCTGATTGCATCAGATGGACCTCAAGACCTCTTTGACCTCATGGACCTCAAGAGAGCGCCGCATAGCGGAATTAAGTTTAAAAATAACCTACAAAATAAAATACTACCTGTTATAATTGATAAACCGTAGAATTAGGGCACAGAATCATTAAGAAGGGGGAGGGTTATTGTTAAGGAACAATACATTTAAATAGTTAACTGCTTTTCATTGTGATTTTCACCTTAAATTTTATTTTCTGATTCATTTATTGATACAGCTAAAATTCTAGAAATCATAAGCAGTTATTGCTATTTGGTTACAAATAACTCAAAAAGTTTACAATGTATGAACGATTACATCCATGAATATTTGATAGGTTCCTACATTCCATAAAAAAACAAGAAAAAGAAAACTCGAAATCTGACCATTATTAATAGCTCAAAAAAAAAAAAAAAAAAAAATAACCGTTTTTCGACCAAATATTTGTTTTATTATTTCTCTGATAGGAAATACAATCAATACTCACAGTATAGTCCATTGTTATCTACAGCCATTAGCCATCTGATAGCCAATCGCTTGATCCCACGCTGATACCATTCTTTTTGATGGTTGTCAAAGAACTCTTGGACCACAATTTCAACTTCCGCAACATTATCAAATTGGGCCCTGGATCTCAATACTGCGATAGTGCGAGGTCTGGACCATATGGTGGGTGAGGCAGGAGGCTCAAATCAGGCGTTTTTTTTTCAATACATTTTCAAAGATTTCTAACCTCTTAGCTAGTTTCTGAGGAGTAAGTTCGTGAGGGACCAGTCTACTGCTCTTTTTCACCTTCCTCATGGAGAGTAGATGGCGACTAACAGAATCATTCGACTCAACATACTCTCTGGCAAGTTCGCGAGTACTCGACGAATTTGACTCAACAGCTTCCTGGCAGAAGCTCATGAATATCCATTAATGGTCGCCCGGAGCCCTTATTCCTTTTCAACGTCGTAATCTCAATTGCTAAACTTTTCAAACAAAGCCGCTCAGTGCGCTGGTCAAGGACACCTTCCCCCTCATATTTAATAATCTCACGAGTTGCTTCAGCGGCTGCAAACATTTTTTTTCCAGTAATGGCTTGAAATTACGAAAATTTCAGAGAACACTGTGATGTTTCTTCTTTGAAACAAATAACTAAACTTAGGCTTTTTTAAAAATTAATATTCTTTTCCTTAGTCAATTACAGCGACCTAAGAAAAGAAAATTAATTTCTTAATGTTATATGCATTGAGTTTACTTACTTTCATTAATTATTATCATATCATTAATTAATTTATCATTTTTCCCTCTTGCTAACTGGTTATATATTTTTTTTTTACTTAATTTAAATTCAATGTTTTCTCAGTAGTTTTCGCTGCCATTTTGATTTGTACTTTTTATCTTAAAAAGTCTGAAATTAATACGAAAATTCTTTGTTTTTCGACTATTACATGTGTATAATTTAAAGTAGTATGTTCATTTCATCAAATAGAGTAAGATAGTAGAACTTAAATATATATATATATAAATTATTACGTATATTGCTATTAGCTACATAAATTCTGACTCGTGCCTTCTAAATCAGTGTAACCATTCGGGGCAGAGATTACAATTAAGGATACCAGGGCATGGTCGCTAACTGCTCTAATTGTTCATTTTTCCAATTAAGATAAATTTACGTGTTTTTTTTTTTCTTCCAGAGAATCCCAATCTGACTGTTATTGTAATTTAGAAAATTATAAAAGTAAAAAATAGAACTGTCTGCCCTAACTGTTGAAACATATTTTTTCTTTCCCAGTTTAATATTATTGTTTTGCTGGACAAGAAATTAGATAATGGACGAACAGAGCAGGCATCCCTTCCGCCGGTTAGTTGCAGATCATTTGTATTTGACCCGGTTAGTTAAAAAAAGAGACTATGTTTTGGAGATGAAAGAATAGCCTATTTTTAGTTTGCGTTGATTCATGTTGTTGTTTCTCTTTCTTTGTTTTTCTTCTTTGGAGATAGTTCACCGCCAGATTCAACAGAGAGGGTTTGGTGTTCTCTGCCAATAGGTACGCCTCAACATCAGCCGCCGAAGTTCCAACCAAAATACAATATTGAAGATTGAAAGTTTGAAAGATCAATGAGGAAGTACAATTCGTCGGCTGGTAAATACTGGTAGTTGTTAACGAGGCCGACATCTTTGGAAAGTAAAATGTCATGACGAGTAATCAACATTCATGGCGACTCATGCGAGTGCAATATCACTGACAGTAAACAGTGGACTGTGTGAGGAATATTATTGAACTTTGGTATGTTTCAGTTATTTTCAACTGCGATATAAAAAAGTTTCTTGCTCTTAGGTACTTGTTTTGCAGATATGAGGTATCACTTCTTTACTAGCTTTTTACGTCACGTTATATATCTGGGCACTTTTAGGGGTATAAGATTTGGTAGGTTTTCATTCTTTTGAGATAGCAAAGTATATTCGAATGATAATCTGTAAAGCTTGGAAACATTATCACTTTTATAATGATGTAGAGATGGTTGACCGTGATATAATATGAGAAGGAGTTGATGGGGAAGGAGGGTGCGGTCAAATAAATACTAAATTATACAAATAGTTTTATTTAATTTTTGCCGACGTTTCGACCCACTTTGCAGGTGCTACAAAAGATCAGAGCTACAAAAGATACAAAACATGGTGAAAATAAAATAAATGAATATAACTAGATATAAAATAAGAAGAAGTTGTCTGATAAAGAAATAAAAAGATGATATCAGATATATAGTGGGTGACAATGTAGTATATCTCTGATATCATCTTTTTATTTCTTTATCAGACAACTTCTTCTTATTTTATATCTAGTTATATTCATTTATTTTATTTTCACCATGTTTTGTATCTTTTGTAGCACCTGCAAAGTGGGTCGAAACGTCATCAAAAATTAAATAATACTATTTGTATAATTTAGTATTTATTTGACCGCACCACCCTATCAACTCCTTCTTATTATCACTTTTAGTTGCCAATTTCTTTTCATGTTAGCGTTTTATTCGTTGTAACTGTTATAATTTTGATTTCGGTTGAAATTATAGTTTTTATGTTTTCAGTAAGATTTTTTTTTTAAAATAAATCTGGAACCAAAGATCACCGTGAGATGATTCTTCTTAGTTTGCGTTACTACGTTACTGATTAGGTATTTAAGATGACGAGCCACTGTGGCATTAGAAGCCCTATTACTCCAGATAAGTCACTAGTAGTTCCATGTGGGATCTGATGCACACATTCCATAAGAAAACCATCATCAACGACAGATCTGGATTCGTCTGCAAGGCTCATATTCCCATTGTTGAAACGGATAGACCTAATTGCGGCAGTATTTGGATGGATAACTCTCCTTCTATGGCACAATTTTCTTTGCGCTTTGACCATTTTCCTGTAAAGTCTCGAAAGACCACGATTCCCGATTTTTTTCTTCTCACATTACACGTGCGTTTTAAAAAAATTAAATGACCCCATAAAGCCAACTCATGGTCACAAGAAATTACAGGATTAGACAAAATAAACATTGGCATGAATATTAGTAATCAAAACATTCTTATAGGACTAATTACGGGAGTCGGAATTAAGGATTGTGTCCAAGCACAAGCTATTTTGTAACAATATTGTATATTATTGAATTTTGTCTGTCGGCAATATTTTTCAGAAGATCTTAACAAGTCGAGAATTAGTTAGGTATTTCTATTGAAAAGGGTGGAAATTTCCGTTACAGAAATTGATAGACACCATAGTTATGTTTTTCTGTCCTGAACATTCGAAACTTCCTTAATTTTGCGTCCACACTACTGAATGTAGGGAAACTTTGTATTCTTGCGGGAGGTAAAAAACAATTTTGGGCCCAGAATGGAAAATTATCACTCGCGTTTTACGTTTCAGACATCAAGGATCAAATTTGGTTCGTTCGGTGTCCGTCGATCGGTACGTCTAGTCAAATCGATGATCCAGTATATCATCTACAATCATTTATTAGATTTTCTTAGATAGGCCCATATTTTAGAAACTGCTTGTTCGTTTTGGCACAATAATGATGTATCGATTCACAGTACATTCTGTTGCGCACTCGTAAATGTATTTTATAAGAAATGCCGATATTTAAGAAACGACTCGTTCGATTTGGCTCAAAGCTAGAAGAAAGGTGAGAAATGTAAAGCTAGTATTAGTGGTAGTAGATCTTGAGATATAGATAACTGTGGAACCAATGAAAATGGCGAGGAAGCTATACTGGCCTCACTTAGCAGATTTGTTATTTATTGCTTTGGAACCTCAGTTTGTTATTCTCGAGCTGCATTCCCTTACGATAATCGTAATTAGAGTATAGTGGAGAATAACTGTTATAACTTATTATAACCGTTTGGTTACCTGTCTATGAGTTGAGATATATAATATTGTAACCGATCGAGGAGGCCTGCGTAGAGTGGGCACTAGCCGTAGCAGCTGGCCACTGTATATCTCACTGGCAGTGGCTATTTAGGTGGCAGTGCCTTTGTTGTCATTGTTCTATCCCTGAGGTCTTCTATAACGAACCATCTCTTCTAATGGACTTCTTTCATCGTCCCTTAGGCTCGTATAATAGGCGGCTTCTATTCTGTCATGTCTGCCCGCAGCAAGATGAATCTCCTCCGTCCGGCTAACGAATATATATAC